TCATCACGATGGTGACACAGTCCACTTGTCTCATCACCACACTGTCACAGTGCCACTCCGTCTCATCACAACACTGTCACAGTGCCACTCTGTCTCATCATGACGCTGTCACAGCACCACTCCATCTCATCACGACACTCACAGCACCACTCCGTCTCATCACGTAGAGGTTGTGTTATCACCACGTCATCACAGGGAGGGTGAATACAATCTGAGATACGTTAAGGGAGAGAGAGGGAGGGAGAGACCACATTATATAACTTTTATGACAGTATATTGTTACAGTTGTTCCAGGGGCATGCATCAGTGAAGTGAATCAACTGACCGCTTGGGACACCCACATCCCATATCTGAGTGCTGGTTCAAATCCCAGCTCCTCTACTTCCAATCCAGCTCCTGATAATGTATCTGAGGATACAGCAGGAGTTAGCTCAACTATTTGGGCCCCTGTGGGACACCCAGATGGAGTTTGGGGCCCCTGGCTTCAGCTGGCCCAGCCATGGCTGTTGCAGTCATTTGGGAAGTAATGAAAGTGGAAGATCTCTCTCTATCTCTCTCTCTCTCTCTCCCCCAACCCTGTGAGTGTGTATGTGTGTGTGTGTGTGTGTGTGTGTCTTCTCCGTGTCATTCTGCATTTCAAATAAATCTTTAAAAAAACTTTTCTATTTTATTATGTTTATTACTGTTAATCTTTTCTTCTTCTTAATTTGTAAGTTAAACTTCATCATCGGTGTGTATGTATGGGAACCATCACAGCACCGGGTTCAGTACTGTTTGTGGCTTCTGAGGGGGTGTGTTGTAGCCCAGCCTGGGAGGCTTACAAACAACAGAAATCTATCATGGTTCTGGAGGCTGGAAGTCCGAGATTAGGGTGCCGCTGTGGGTGGCTCCTGGTGCAGGCCCTCTCCAAGGCTGCACCAACTTTTGTACCCTCCCAGGGTAGAAAGAGGATGGATAGCCCTCCGGGGACCTTGGAGAGCCCTCTGGGTCCTGTTTCCTAAGGGCCCTATCTGCTGCTAAGAGAACTAATTGTACCCCAAAGGCCCCACTGCCCAATACCATCATCGCCTTGGGGATTAGGATTTCACATGTGAATTTTAGAGACACAAACATGCAGCCTGTTGTGTGTGCAAAAACACAATGGAAGCATTTTGATTCCTGCAGGTGTCTGAGTAAGATACGGGTTCCCGAGGATTCCCCATATTCTTTTTTTTTTTTTTTTTTTTTTTTTTTGACAGGCAGAGTGGACAGTGAGAGAGAGAGACAGAGAGAAAGGTCTTCCTTTTGCCGTTGGTTCACCCTCCAATGGCCGCCACGGCTGGCGCGCTGCGGCCGGTGCACCGTGCTGATCCGAAGGCAGGAGCCAGGTGCTTCTCCTGGTCTCCCATGGGGTGCAGGGCCCAAGCACTTGGGCCATCCTCCACTGCCTTCCCGGGCCACAGCAGAGAGCTGGCCTGGAAGAGGGGCAACCAGGACAGAATCCGGCGCCCTGACCTGGACTAGAACCCGGTGTGCCAGCGCTGTAAGGCGGAAGATTAGCCTATTGAGCTACGGCGCCGGCTCCCCCATATTCTTGTAAAATGCAAATTTATTCACTTGAAAGACAGAGATAGAGAGAGGGAGGGACAGGGAGAGATTGGAGAGAGAGAGAGATCTTCCATCCATTGGTTCACTCACTAATGGCTGTGACAGCCAGGGCTGGGCCAGGCTGAAGCCAGGAGCCAGGAACTCTATCCAGGTCTCCCCTGTGGGTGGCAGGGGCCCAAGCACTTGGACCATTTTCTACTGCTCTCCCAGGTGCCATCAGCAAGGAGCTGGATTGGAAGTGGAGCAGCTGGGACTCCAACCAGCACACATATGGGATGCCAGCGTCACAGGCAGCAACTTAACCATCTGTGTGACAACACTGGCCCCTTGAGAACCATTATCTTAGAAAAATTTATGTATTTATTTGAGTGTTAGAGTTACAGAGATAGAGGGGGGGAGGGATAGAGAGAAAGGTCTTCCATCCACCCAGATGGACACAATGGCCAGGGATTGCCCAAGCCAAAGCCAGGAGCCAGGAGCTTCTTCCAGGTCTCCTACATGGATGGCAGGGGCCCAAACACTTGGGCCATCTTGTGCTGCTTCCCCAGGCCATTAGCAGGGAGCTGGATCTGAAGTGGAGCTGCTGGGACTTGAACCGCCTTCAATAAGGGTGCCTGTGTCACAGGCAGCAACTTTACCTGATACATCACAACACCAGCCCCACAACCTGTTACTGGAGAAGCAAAGGGTCCTTGTCTTCGCACAAGAAAAAATTCAGGTGTGAGACAGAGAGCAGTGGAAAGCAAAGTAGCGAGGTTTACTAGGGTAGGGCCATCCATAAGAACGGATGGGCACCTCTCCAGACAGGACCCGAGAGAGAATGCACAGTGCACATTTAGGCTGGGGCTTTTAAGGGGATGGGTCTTGCCTCCCGCCTCTTCTCTCCCCCTCTCCTTCTTCTCCGCCCGAACAAAGGACTTGTTGGGTGTAAATACAAAAAATTCCTTTCTGAGTTTTCCCCCTGAAGTTATCAGACAGGGGAAGCCTGGCTGGTATTGCCCCGCCTTAGAGGAAGGGTGTTCATCAGGCCAGGTAGAAGGGGCAGGACCCCCTGGAAGGTCATCAGGATCCAGGCAGGACCTTGAAGTGCAGATACTAGGCTGCACCCGGAAGGTTATCGGGATGACTTTGAGATGCGGATGCTGGACCACTACGGATGTCAATTCCTTAGGCCCTTGTCACACACACAAGCTCATTTCTGACTTCCTACCTAACAAACCCATATTCAGGTTTGTTTGTTTGTTTGTTTAAGATTTATTTATTTGAAAGTCAGAGTTATACACAGAGAGGAGAGGCAGAGAGAGAGAGAGAGAGAGAGAGAAAGGTCTTCCATATGGTGGTTCACTCCCTAATTGGCCGCAATGGCCAGAGCTGAGCTTATCCGAAGCCAGGAGCCAGGAGCTTCTTCCGGGTCTCCCACGCGGGTGCAGGGGCCCAAGGACTTTGGCCATCTTCCACTACTTTCCCAGGCCACAGCAGAGTGCTGGATTGGAAGTGGAGCAGCTAAGTCTCAAACTGGCGCCCACATGGGATGCCTGCACTTCAGGCCAGGGCATTAAGCCGCTGAGCCACAATGCTGGCCCCGAAGAACCTATATTCTTAAAACAAATTCCTGGGGGCTGGCGCTGTGGCATAGGGTAAAGTAGTGGTGTGGGTAAAGCTACTGGCTCCCCTTGCTGACCCCGCCAGTCAGGTCTTCCGGAAACCCCAGCTCTGGTGCCCCTCCCTGCGGAGAACCAGGCTCTCCATCCTTGCCTGGTGACCTGCCCACACGTGGTGTTCTCAGCTCAACAGTCTCCCTTCTGAGGTGAGCTCGGGGCCCTGGGCACCATCAGCAGAGGGCCACGTGTCCTCGGTGGCCACACTTTCTGAATCTGAGTCGGGGTCTGTCTCCCTGAGCCCTGCCCTCTTCCAGGCCCCCAGGCCTGGGGCACCTTTGCTCATGCCCCTGCCCCTGGAGCTGTGGCTAAGGCCACCTGGGTTTGACTCTCAACTCCTGTATTTACTGTTATGTTGAGGCAAAGTGCTTAACCCAGCAACACCCAAATTTCTTAGTAAAATAAAGATGTGAAGTCTAAGATACAGCACAATACACACAGTGAACTATTCAGGAAGGGCCAGCTACTCGGGGGCATTTGACTCTGTTTCTGTTTTAAAAGGTTTATTTCCTATTTGAAAGGCAGACATACACTGAGAGAGAGAGAGAGAGAGAGAGAGAGAGAGAGAGAGAGAGAGGTTTTCCATCCACTGTTTCCCTAAATAGCCACAACAGCTGGAGCTGGGCGGATCTGAAGCCAGGAGCTAGGAGCCAGGAGCTTTTTCTGGGTCACCCACATGGGTGCAGGGCCCCAAGGTGTAGGGCCATCTTCTACTGCTTCCCCAGGCCATCAGAGGGTGGGAAGTGGAGCATCTGGGGCTCGAATTGGCGCCCCTGTGGGATCCGAAGCTGCAGCTTTACCCGCCACGCCCTTGACTCTTTGGATCTCAGCTTTTCCGTCACAGCCCAGGCCAGATCTGGCTCCTCCCTCTTTAAACATCTCCTTGTCCCATTTTTTCATGGCTTCCTCTGGGCCAGCTCCCACTGACTTCCGTGGGGGCCTTGCCATGCGTTTCTTCAACCTTGGGATCCAGTGCTCCCCCTCCCCCATTCCGGGTTATTCCACTATCACGAGTAGCTGGGAACCCAGTCCCCCCCATTCCAGAACATTCTACCACCCTCGGTCCTTGACTTGATGGAGTAGGGCTTTAGCAAGGGTTTTTGAGGAGGGCCTTTCAAGTGCTCGGTGCAAAGTAAGAGCAAAACTCAGCCTCCGGGGCCTCTCTGCACAGCGGTTTCTGACTCTCAGGGGAACAAGCACGCTGTGGTCAGAGGCATCGTTCCCTCCGTCCCTCACCTGAGCCACTGAGGCTTCCGCCCGACCTGTGCATCTCAGCGGCTGCTCCCGGACACAGGCTCACTCCCTGCCCTTGTACTGCTTACCGCCCACCCGTGCATCTCAGTGGCCAGGCCAGGTTGGGCTACTTTGGCAACGATTTGCTTTCCAGCTCAACCAGTTTGCAGCTTAGAAAACGGAAAAGGGGCCGGCGCTGTGGCGCAGTGGGTTAACGCCCTGGCCTGCAGTGCCGGCATCCCATGTGGGTGCTGGTTCTAGTCCCAGCTGCTCCTCTTCCAGTCCAGCTCTCTGCTATGCCCTGGGAAAGCAGTAGAGGATGACCCAAGTCCTTGGGCCCCTGCACCCGTGTGGGAGACCTGGAAGAAGCTCCTGGCTCCTGGCTTTGGATCAGCGCAGCTCCAGCCGTTGTGGCCATCGGGGGAATGAACCACCATATGGAAGACGTCTCTCTCTCTCTCTCTCTCTCTCTCTCTCTCTCTCTGCCTCTGCTTCTCTATAACTCTGCCTTTCAAATAAATAAAAAAATTAGAATTACCAGAAGTATGGTTTTTTTTTTAATAATCACTTGGTGATGTATCTTTAAAAAAAAAAAAGGAAAGGAAATGGAAAAGCCTCTGTTGAGCCCAGATCTTTGCCCCGGCCTCCCCCCCACCCCCGCACCTGAGTTCCAGAATGTGGGGCCAGGCCGCACCCTCGCAGGCTGTGTCCCCGGCTTTGCTTGCTCAGCGCCACAGGGGATCATTAACTTCCCCGTGGTTACTCAGACGTCCACATTAGGACTCATTTGCCACAGCTGAACGCCCCTAGGTGGCCGCAGCAGGCAGGTGAGCCCCGGGGCCCCTCCCTCCCTGTCAGGCGCCCTGAGAAGTTAATCTTCCTGCCAGCAGTGGCCTTTTTTCCGTGTTCTTGTCCTGCTGCCTCGGAGAAGACCGAAGAGGGCCCTGAGTCGCCATGGACTCTGCCGTTCTCCGCTGGGAGCCTCCCAACCCCTCGGTGAGTGCTGGTGGGGGTGGGGGTGGGGATGGGGGTGGGAAGGGGAGGGGGGCAGGAAGGTGGTCTGGGGGCCGGGGTGGGGGCATGGGTCTAAGACCCCGATTCATTCTCTGAGCGACAGGCAGTGGCGCACTCTGGATTAGGGCTGGGAGTCTTGTAGATTAGGCTTGGAGTCTCAGGATGGGCTGCTCCCAGCCTTGGCTCCCTGGTGTCCTGGGTGCTCAGGTCACCATCACAGCAGCCTCAAGCCAGGCTCTGACTACCACAGGGGCGGGGGGGGGGGGGGACCTGGATTTGCTAGCAAGGCAGTGCTGTCCCCGAAACGTCCGATTCCCACCAATTAAGACCACCAGGAGGCCGGCGCCGCAGCTCACTAGGCTAATCCTCCGCCTTGCGGCGCTGGCACACCAAGTTCTAGTCCCGGTCGGGGCACCGGATTCTGTCCCGGTTGCCCCTCTTCTAGGCCAGCTCTCTGCTGTGGCCAGGGAGTGCAGTGGAGGATGGCCCAGGTGCTTGGGCCCTGCACCCCATGGGAGACCAGGAGAAGCACCTGGCTCCTGCCTTCGGATCAGCACAGTATGCCGGCCGCGGCGGCCACTGGAGGGTGAACCAACGGCAAAAGGAAGACCTTTCTCTCTGTCTCTCTCTCACTGTCCACTCTGCCTGTCCACAAAAAAAAAAAAAAAAAAAAACAAACAAACAAACAAAAAAAAAAACACACAAGGAGCCGAGGCTGATGCAAACTCAAGAGTTTTATCTCAAACTCGAGTTTGGTCCGACGTCCGCACCAGGCACAGCTGGGCTGGATGGACGGCCCCCACAGGAAGGTCGTTAGGGTTTTTATACAGTTGAACAAACAAGTTTGGCTATACAGCATCTGATAGGCTCCTATTTTAAATTAATACTTGTTATTCTATGATTGGCTAAGTACAGGGTCTGAGCCGCTAGGGTGCGCGTGCCAAACTGCAGGGTTTCGGGATGCTATCAATCACCTTAACTGATAAGACACCTGGAACTTCCCTGCTGTCTGCTAATCGCTGTTGCTAGGAGAGTTTATCACAAGGGGAGTTTCATTTTCTTTTTTTCGGAGCTTTTGGCTCAGGGTTCAGGGCCCGGTCAGGCCCGAGTTGCAAGATGGAGGCCTGGTCTAAACTAGCTGCGCCTTGATCCTGGCTCAGGTCCCTCAGCAGGAGGGGCCCCTGCTGGGTCTCTGTGGAATCTGGGTGTTCCTTCCTTACCCTCTCAGCACTCTGCTCGCTCTTGTCGGGCCCCTTCCGGAGGGGGGGCAGGGGGAGAGAGAGGCAGAGAGAGCACAGTATCCCAAACAGCCAGCGTGCGTCAGCCACTTCACGTGCCGTTCCTTTTCACACCTGCGGGGGCTGAGGTCCAGAGATGCAGTCACAGTGACCCATCTGCCACCCTCTCCAGCCTGTTTTGGGCACCTACAAATGCCAGGGAGACCAAGCGGACACTGGCTTAGGTCTGCAGCCCTGGCCTAGTGGGGAGAGGCCCCTTCCCCCGCAGCTGGCAGCAGCGAGGACAGTGTCCACTGCCTTCCCCCTCCCCCCGCAGGGCTGCCCCAGCCTCTCACCGCTGCTCTGGCTGCACGGAGCCGCTGCCTCCTCCGCCCGCCGGTCTGCTGCCAAGAGCAGGGAAGCTGACCCAGGAAGCACCGGCGCACCTGCAGACGGGAAGAGGGGGCGGTTCCACCCTCCCACTTGCAACCTGACCTTGGACAAGCCCTGCCACCTCACTGAGCCCCGGCCTCCTGTCTATCCGTGGCAGGCAGTAAGGAGGTGCCAGGAACCAGGCGAGTGGATGCACTGGCTGTTCTTTGCGAACTGTGAAGTTCTGTGCACCTCCAGGCGCCATGGGGGTGCCCCTTTGCGTCAAGCTTTATAGTGGAATTGCGTCATGTATTGATAGTCAAAACCAGAAGACAGGTTCAGCCCCCTGCCCCCTTTCTCTGATGCTCAGCGTGGGGGCGCGCTTCTTGAAGTCATTCTTCCTCCAGAAACGATCTCCAAGGTTTTCTTCTGCCACTGGGTGTCGCTTGCACAGATTTCTCCCAGCATGGGATGCCCCGGGGATAGAAGTGGCCCCCGCATCCTGATGGAAAGACAGACTGGAAATGGCCTTGGCGATTGACTCCTGCTCTGCTAGGAGGAAAGGCGAGCAGGCGAGAGCCAACGCCTTCCCCAGCCCTGGCGCTTCCCTGCCTCACTTTCCTGAAAAACCGTCCCTGTGGACAAGGTGCGGTCAAGTTGCTCACAGGACACACAAACAGTCGCGGCGCCCATGGTGGGATGCCAGCACGCACACCACGCATGCTCCGCTTGCGAGTATGCTCACCGCCATGCTGCCTGGGTGGGCAGAGGCCGTGGAGGTGGAGTCCCAGGCCCACAGGCTCTGAACGTGGCATGACAGTCACATCCGCCCAGTGTCTCTTGTCATGCACGTCTGTGGTTGCCCGCCCAGGATCCGATCAGTCACTCAATCTCTCCCTCTCTGTCTCTCCTCCCTCCCCCAGTGTCTTTTCTCCGCCGATCTGTAGATTCCTCTCCACGCTTGCTGACCCCTTGCAGTAAGTGCCCTTGAGCCCAGAGCGACCTCTTGCAGCCTCTAGTTCGGAAAAGCAAATTTCTTTGATGTGCACCCAAATACCAAGCAGCATCAAAACGTCTCCATTTCAGGAGCCTAACTGGGATAAGCATGCGGTTTCCAAGACTTGCAACCAGCTTCTTAGGAAAATTCTCTACAGTCATTAATGCATGCGTTTGTTCTCTGAGCGCTCACTGCGTGTGAGCACTGGAGATGGAGAAGATATGGGACTTTGCGATCCTTTGTGTGGCGAAATATATGGTGGATGTTTGGGGCCATAGTAACTTGCTCACAAGTTTGTCGGAGCCCCCGAGGAGGGGAGGCCTCACCTATCAAGGCTGGGGTGGAGTGGGTGAGGGATGTCTTCCCGCACCGGCAAATGCTCACTAAACAGATGAGCTGAAGCAAAACACCTGCTTTACGTTCCAGGGCCTGATGCCAGAGACGAGTGAGAATGCATGGTTTGGTACAGAGAACACAGTTCTGCAGGAGGTTAGATCAGTAGACCCAGGGCAGCAGGCCTGCACTGTGGCATGGGGCTCTCCTCCGACGGCTGTCTCCGTCACCGGTGACGTGGGCTCCGCAGGCATAGACTGGGGAGGAATTAGGATGAGCGGTTAGGGGCCGGCATCGTGGCCCGCTGGGTGAAGCCACAGTTTGCAATGCTATCAGAGCACCAGTTTGAGTCCTGGCTGCTCTGCTGCAGATCCAGCTCCCTGCTAATGTGCCTGGGAAGGCAGCAGAGGACGGCCCAAGTGCTTGGGCTTCTGCCACCTGCATGGGAGCCCCAGATGGAATTCTGGGCTCCTGGCTTGGACCTGGCCCCAGCCCCAGCCCCAGCCCCTGCCCCTGCCATGGGGGTCTGTCTTTCCCACTCCCTTTGTCACTCTGCCTTTCAAATAAAAAGATCTCTTAAAAACATTTAAAGGATGTGTTTGCCACTGAGCGCCCTCCATGAAGGACTGTTTTGCTTTGGCTCCAGGTAGGATATGGCTCAGCCCACTGCACCCAGCTCCCCTCCTTCCCGGCCAGCCCTGCCCTGAGTTAGGGCTTCCTCAGGGGGATGCATCCTAGGCAGTGCAGCTTCACGGATGGTGGTTAGCAGTGTCTGGGGGTAGTTTTGTTTGTCACAGCTGGGTGGAGAGGCCAGGAAAGCTTGTGAACACAGTACACACACACACACACACACACGCAACACAACTAAGACTTGTTTGGTGCATATGTCAGTAATGCTGAGGTTGGGAAACCCTGTCTTAGAATACAGCAGTTCTGGGGCCGGGGCCGTGGCGCAGTAGGTTAATCCTCCACCTGCGGCGCCGGCATCCCATATGGGCACCGGTTCTAGTCCCGGCTGCTCCTCTTCCAGTCCAGATCTCTGCTGTGGCCTGAGAAGGCAATAGAAGAAGGCCCAAGTCCTTGGGCCCCTGCCCCTGCATGGGAGACCCAGAAGAAGCTCCTGGCTCCTGGCTTCGGATCAGCACAGCTCTGGCAGTTGTGGCCACCTGGGGAGTGAACCAGCAGACAGAAGACCTTTCTCTCTGTCTCTCCCTCTCACTGTCTGTAACTCTACCTCTCAAACAGATAAATAAATCTTTTTTTTTTTTTTTTTAAAGAATACAGCAGTTCTCTTTGCCTATGGAGGACAGAATCCAAGACCTCCTAGTGGATGCCCAAAGCTACGGATAGCACCGAGCGCTGTGTGTACCATAACTTCTGTGTCCCCACAAAATTGCCATTCAAAGAGTTCATGGAAAATGCACATTATGAAAAAAGTGTGCATGGACTTCAAAAAAAAATTTTGCACCAAAATAAACTTAACTCCACTTTTCCATGAACTTTTGGAAGTACCATTGTAATACCATTGTTAATCTATCATTTCTTTCTTTTTTTTTTAAATTTTTTTGACAGGCAGAGTTGGACATTAAGAGAGAGAGAGAGAGACAGAGAGAAAGGTCTTCCTTTTCTGTTGGTTCACCCCCCAAATGGCCGCCATGGCCAGCGATGCGCCAATCTGAAGCCAGGAGCCAGGTGCTTCCTCCTGGTCTCCCATGCGGGCGCAGAGCCCAAGGACTTGGGCCATCCTCCACTGCACTCCCTGGCCACAGCAGAGAGCTGGACTGGAAGAGGAGCAACCGGGGCAGAATCTGGCACCCCGACCGGGACTAGAACCCGGTGTGCTGGCGCCGCAGGCAGAGGATTAGCCTAGTGAGCCGCAGCGCTGGCCAATCTATCATTTCATGTTTTATGTCTGGATGCCTCCTTTGCAACACTGATTTGCCCTTTGGGACAATTATTAAGTAAAACAAGGCTCGAAGACAAGCACTGTGGTGCTGCGATGGTCACTCTGACAGCCAGGACCACTACTGAGCGATGAGCAGTGAGTGGAGAGCTTATGTAGCATACGTGTGATGGACAGAGACGATTCGCAGCCCAAGGAGGATACAGCCAGATGGTGCAAGATTTCATCAGCATGTGATGTAAACTTTATGAATTGTTTCTTTCTGGAATTTCCCATGTTGGATTTTTGAACTACAGTTGGAGGAGGAATGAAACCATGGAAAGCAACATTGTGGTTAAAGGCAGACCATTATATCGTGCTCCTGGGACCCCACTGGGCCATATCAGAAGGAGCAGCCTGATCTTTGCACTGGTGGCCTGGCCACATCGGGAATGATGCGCTCACATTCTTAGCCATATGCTGATGCTCAAATGTTGGCCCTAAGCTCGTGTTCAACACTCTCTGTATATATGGAAATCTGGAAGCCGAAGGTGTTGTAGCCAATATTTATTGGACGGTTACCACGTGCTGAGCATTGGACTATGTGTTTCCTGCTCCAATTTAATTTTCTCAACCATCGATGCAGTGGGTACTAGTGACATTTGTATAGTTTGGAAAATCTAGACCTAGAAGTACTAGTCATGTGTCCAAGCCTAGTCGGCTATTCAGCCAGTAAGGTGGCAGGAATGTCAGCAATTCCAAGTTGACTCTGGTTAAACTCAGAGGAATCCAAACTGGCTACTGACCTGAGCTCATTCTAGACGTCTGTACTGCACTCCTTTACGTTGGTATGTTCCCGTCACTCACGCACCAGCTCGGTCTACACTGAGCACAGGGTCTGCGCTAGGAGCTGGAATGACAAGAGTGATGCACAATCAGTGTGTAAGGAAGCCACCTGTTAGGATAAATGTGCATGAAGAGCGCTTCAGCAGAGTAAGCGCAGGGCTCCCTGCCAGCAAGTGCGAGGGTCTGGGAGGGAAATCTACCCATTTTCTGCCCTTGGGGTTGGCCACCCTCTCCTGCTCTACAAAATGACTTATTCACCAAGGCTTCAGGAAGGGTACCTGTGGGGAGCAACCCGGACTAGACTAAGTTACTGGAATTAAGACTTATTCTATGCATCTGCTCTCCCACAATATGGCGCTGGGAGAGAAGAAAACAGCTTCTACACAGCTGCCTCCAGTTCAGCCAATAAACTGTAGGACTTGCTCCTGATTGGAGGAGAGCAGCGTACTCGGCGTGTGGGCAGCCGAGTTAGGATTGGCGGAGGAGGACTATAAGGGAGGAGAGAGACGGCATGCACCAGGAACATCTAACGGGAACATCTAAGGGGAACACCTGTGCAGCCCCCGAGAGAGCCGGCCGGCGGTGTGCCGCTCCCCTGCGGAAGTGGGGAAAGTGGCCAGGGGGAACCGCCCTTCCACGGAGGTGGAAGGGACAGTAGCCAACCCGGGAAGAACCAGCAGCAAACCCGGGAAGGGCCGAGCAGACCAAAGAACAGCGCAGGGTCCTGTGTCGTTCCTCCACGAAGAGGGGGAGCGACATAATGGTGCCGTGACTCGGATATGAAGCCTAGGCAGGGCTTAGTGTCGTTCCTCCACGAAGAGGGGGAGCGACAGGTACCCATTCTTCTTGCATGGGCCCAGGCTTCACAGGCCCTGCTGCAGGTGCATACTCTAGAAAGTCGCTGGTTTGGTTCTGGCCCTGAACTGCCCAGCTGGCCATCAGTCATCCCTGTTTCATTGCCTCTTGTCTTTGGAAGGCTGTCCATCTCTGGTTCACTCCTCTTTTTTTTTTTTCTTTTTAATATTTATTTATTTATTTGAAAGGCAGAGTTACAGAGAGGTAGAGAGAGAGAGAGGAGAGAAGTCTTCCATCTGCTGGTTCACTCTCCAGATGGCCACAACAGCTGGAGCTGTGCTGATCCAAAGCCAGGAGCCAGGAGCTTCTTCTGGGTCTCCCAGTTGGGTGCAGGGGCCCAAGGACTTGGGCCATCTTCTGCTTTCCCAGGCCATAGCAGAGAGCTGGATTGGAAGTGGAGAAGCCAGGACTAGAACCGGCGCCCATATGGGATGCCGGCGCTTCAGGCCAGGGCTTTAACCTGCTGCGCCACAGCCCTGGCCCCATGGTTCACTCCTCTTAAAGTGCCCAGATGTATCCTTCTCTCATTCCCTGCAGAAGAGTGATGATGTGTCCAGCTTCCACACTGATGACCAAGACAGGAAGAAGAATGGGCAACCTGGGAGCCCTAGCCCCAGCCACCTGGCCTATGGCATCTTGGACACCCCACCGTGGTATCTCTGCATCTTCTTAGGGATCCAGGTAATGCCACCGAGCAAGCTCCGGGTGCAGAAATGCTCTACTCCAAAGCCTTGTCAACCAGCACCAAGTCCAGTTAGCCAACATCAACAGCTTCAGTTTCTGAAGTTGCATCTTCCATGTTGTGGACCTCTAGGGACATGCAAGACTCCTCCAGTCTCTCTCTCTCTAGGGTTTAGAGTGGGGGAGGAGGCTGCTGCTTCGTGCTGAGCTGACGGTCCCTTGTGCCCCTCAGCAGCATCCCTGGGCTTGTCAAAGCTCTGTTTCACTGAGTGAGGCCCCTGGGAGGCCAGGGAGGGGCCAGGCCAAGTACCTTCCTTGGAGTAAGCCCTTTTAGCTCTAGTGTCTCTTTCCACCAAATGCCTCATGCTCTCTAAGTTCAAGAGATCTGATAATGGGAGGGAGTCGGCCCTGGCCAGTTTGGGTAGGTAATGTGGCCTGGGCATATATGAGGCTGGTGGACTCTTGGCCTGGAGAACACATGGTCTGTGTTGACCTAGCTGGTGGCAGGCCAAGGAAGCATTTGTAATAGGCTACTGTGTCATTGATTCAACAAGACATAGGAGCAATGGCAAGGATCATCCAAGCGCCCCTATGTTGGCCCTTCTGAACTGAAAATTTCCCTTGACTCTTCCCCAAGGGGCAGCCAACTGCCCAGTGACCATAGTGCACCTGCTGAAACTGCCCGTCAGCCAAAGAAAGAACATCAAGTGTAGGCTTTGACTTTTAGTGGGAGTTCAGAGTCCCCCCGCCTCCAACACACGTTCTATCTGCCCTCTACTCTGCTGTCCAGGAGCAGCGCTGGTCATACTGGTCAGATTATCCCAGGACGTTCATGAGAGGATTAGCCGTGACTGGTGGAGAGGTCCCCTTAGACGTGACTTGGCCTGGTGACAGGAGCGGGAACTGCTCCTTAAGGAAGGCTTGGCCATTTCTTCTGCTCATGTGGATGGGGAGACAGGGGCCTCCCACTCCCCGGTGCTACTGGCCCAGGCTTCTCGTGGGTGCCCAGGCCTGTCCTACCTTAGGCAGTGGCAAGGTGCTGTCTTCCTCTGGCACGGGCGGAAGGTACTGGTCCATTTTCACACTTGGCCTTGCCTGAGTGGGGCAGGTATGTGAATACTTTCAGGGTGTCATTTTCCTAAGAAAAAGCCAGTGTCCTGTGGTCTAATTTAGCTCACAGAGGTTTGCCATCAAGCCCCGGCTATGTAGGAGTGTGTAACCTGCCTTCCTATGCCTTCTTTACATGTCGCTTGCTCAGTGCTGTGGAAAGGAGGCGTGGTTAGGACAGGCAGGATCAGGTATGCTGGGTCCCGTGGCCTAATTCTGTCCTAAGGACACCTTAAGGGTAACCCTTTGCAGCAGGTTTTTGGCTTTCTCCTTCGATCATTCTTTCATTGTTTTGGCTGACTCAGCAGCTGATAATCTAAATGAAGGCAGACCAAGTCAGCTGTCCTGGCTTCATTTACGCTATGATCTTACAAGGTGGAGAACCTGTGCTGTTGAGTCATCCTTGCATGGCGTATTTGCAGATCAGGAGAATTTTATCAGCACCGAGGACCCAAGGCCTTGGGGAAATGCTGACAGATCCGGTCTATCCGAGGACAGCCTGGACGGGAACAAAGCTGAGAAGCCAGTGTCTGCATGGCTCTGGGTTCATAGGATGTTTGGCTCAGTGGCCAGATCTGCGCTGGGACTGGAGCCACATGCTGGACACTGGTGTGACTCAGAACCAGAGTGGCCACAGCTCATGAGTGTCACCCTCGACATGGTGCACCTCTCCGCTCTGTGGGGCTGAAGTACATGCGACAGTGGCTCATCCCTGCACCTCGTTGGTTGTGTGGCGCCATGTCTGTCTCTCCCTCGCCCTCTCCCATTTGTCCCCTGCATTGCGAGGCCACCTGCAATGAATTCACCTGCCCAGAACTGCGGCTCTAATCTGGTCTGAAAGGTGGAACTCAGATAGCCTGTGGCCAACAGCTCCAGGGTAATGCTCAGGCCTTCCTGTGCCTTGTTTAGTGATGAGCCTCTTGCCTGCTTTTTTTTTTTTTTTTTTTTAAAGATTTATTTATTTTATCTGAAAGGCAGAGAGAGAGAGAGGGAGAGACAGAGACTGAGAGATCTTCCATCTACTGCTTCGCTCCCCAGATGGCTGCAATGGCCGGAGCTGGGCCGAATCTTGCCTGGTTCTTTTTTATTTTTATTTTTTTGACAGGCAGAGTGGACAGAGAGAGAGAGACAGAGAGAAAGGTCTTCCTTTGCCGTTGGTTCACCCTCCAATGGCCGCCACAGCCGGCGCACCGCGCTGATCCGATGGCAGGAGCCAGGTGCTTCTCCTGGTCTCCCATGGGGTGCAGGGCCCAAGGACTTGGGCCATCCTCCACTGCACTCCCTGGCCACAGCAGAGAGCTCTTGCCTGGTTCTTAAGGCTCCACTTTGGCTCCTGTTAGATCCTCCACACTTGCATCTCTGCCTCGGTTTCTTCCCCAGGGCATCAGTTCCTGGTGCCGGGGCTCCGCCCTCGCAGCCCACTTCCTCCGGCAGGCTCCCTGCTTCTTGCTGCTAGGCCTTCCCCGTTCCCTCTGCCTGCCTGCAACTCTGCCAGTTGTCCAGGCCGCGGCCCTCTTGCCTCTCGTGCTGGGACCAGCTCCCCGCGAGGTGCTGGGCTGCACCCCGGTTTGGGGGGTGGGGGAGGAGCAGGCAGCTGCAGCATGGCCCACGGCTCTCACTCTCTGCCCGCAGCACTTCCTCACGGCCCTGGGGGGGCTCGTGGCAGTGCCGCTCATCCTGGCCAAGGACCTGTGCCTGCAGCACGACCCCCTGACACAGAGCTACCTCATCAGCACCATCTTCTTCGTCTCGGGGCTCTGCACTCTCCTGCAAGTGTTCCTAGGGATCAGGTAGGTGAGAAACCGCGCCACCTGACCGCCTGCCAGGGTGTCTGCGGGGTTTGTTTGGCTGTGGCTGGAGAGACCACAGGCGGCTGGTGTGGCTGCCGAGAGGGTGCACGGGCGAGGACCCCAGCCTGGGTTCAAGTGCTGGCTCCAGTGCTCACTGTTAGGTCTGCAACAGCGTGGGGTTCTGGCCTTTCAAACCCCCAGAAAGGAGAGAGGGAAAAAAGGAGACCGAGACCGATGTCAGCAGAGACAGGTTGCTTTATTGGAAGCACAGAGGTTGGCGACAGTCTGTTCTTTGGACTCAGGTTTTTATCCGGGTTAGGAGCTGGGACTTGGCCACTAAGGCGGGGTGGGTATAGAAAGCAGCTGGCAGAAGAGGGGGCTCTTTGAAGTCTCTGGGAATCTCCCTCTTACCTGTTTCCTAGCTGCCCTGTGCGGCTTATCTGTTTTGGCATTTGCATTGTAAGGAGTCAAGAAGGGTCTGGTTAGGCACCAAGGATCTAGATAAAAGAGAGGAAGTGGGTGGGGGAAGGGAGGAGGGGAAGGGTGTGCCAAGTCCTTAACTCGCTGCCTCCGTGAGCAATGGACACCTGATCAGAAAGAGCACAAATCCAGACCCACTCGGTGTAAGACGTGTTCTTCATTAACTCATCAGGTCAAACCAAGGGAAAGGCAGGGGTGCGTCCGTGCCTCAGGAACTCGATGGCCAAGCGTTCCCATGCTGTGGCAGCCTCTCTGTCTCTGTCTCCGCTCAGGCCTGCCCCTGGTGTTGGTGAGACCCTCGACAAGTGCATCCGTGGGCCAGTCTGTGCCTAAATGTCAGGAAGTCATAAACCACGCTGCCACACCCTGAAAACACATTCCGCTCATCCTGCTGTTACCAATTTGCTTATTAATAATTCACAATATTAATAAGCCTTGTGTGTTCTTGGCTCATAGAGAAAAATTCTGAATACTGGCACAAATAAACAAGGCAGCGTGATAAAGTTTTATATTCAGTAAGAGAAATGTATAGGAGAGGGAGGGCTCTGTCTAAAAGAGAGGGAAATCTGGATTCGTATGGAGCAGAGGAGCCAGCCACCTGCAGGGGCATGCAGGAAGCAAGGAGTGGGTGGCCTGGGAGGCCACTTCCCCAAAGGCGCAGGGCAACAAGCGGTAATCCACTCCCAAAAGGAGTGGTTAATTAGCTTGATTGGGCGGTGGGCACACAGGTGCAGTCAGGGAGGGGCATGAGGTCACTCAGGGGCGTGGTGAAGGTGTGGTCTTCCAGCTCAACAAACCTGATCAATTTTATCCTGTTTGAGTTTAGACTTCTTGGCCCCCACCCTGGGGGAAGGGCCAGCCACCAGCCCGAGCCAGCTCCCACCGTGTCCCACTTCGGGCTTTGCTGCAAATCACGAAGGGTCTCCATTCTTGAACGTGGGTGCCCCCAGCTGCACATCCAGGTTCCGGTGCTGCCTGCCTCCCCTGAACAGCCGCCCCTTGGCTGTCCTTCCGCCCTGGGGGCGTGCATCCTGCATCTGTCCTCAGCAGGCTGGGCCTGAGGAGGAGCCCCTAGGTGAGAGAGGCATAGGCCCCTGGCACTGTGGACTCCTCCTCCGAGGAGCTGGTGTGGACCCTCTGAAGTTTAGAGGAAGCCTAGGAGGCTCTTGTCTGCTGGTCTGTGGGCAGGACTGTGTCTTCATTGCTCTCCCAGTGCCCGTGTTTGATCCGTGCAGACAGGCTTCCTGTGTGTGTGTGGTAGGGTTCTTCAGAGAGGCAGAACCGATAGGATGTGCATGTGTCGCAGGAGGTGGCGCTCATGTTACAGAGGCTGGGCTGTGCCACGATCTGCCGTGTGTATGCTGCAGAACCAGAAGGGCTGATGGTGCAACACAGGGAGCAGTCCTGGAGGGGGGCTCTGGGGTGCGCAGCGGGAGGCCACTAAATCCCACTAAATCTGCACATTGTCCCTGGGGGAGGAGAAACTGGCTGTCCTGATTGGAGGGTGTGGTGCCCACCCATGTTGGCGAGGGTCATCTTCTTTGCTCAGTAACCAAGCGCCAGTCTCCTCTAGCAGACATCCCTGGCTTTGCACCCATTAGCTGGGCATCCCTCGGCTCAGGTGACCATCGCCAAGTGACTGCAGCCGGGGCCGCTGGCCGCTCGTTCCCCGCCGTGGGCCAGCAAGTGCTACTCAGGCAGTTCTCACATTTCGCCCTCAGGCAAGTGCTCCATGGGCCCAGCTTACGTCAGACACCAGCCCTGGACCCGCCAGGGCAGCACGCCAGGGCAGCACGCCTAGGCACTCGGGGCCACTCCCTTTGCGGAAGGTTTTCCAAAGCAGCAGGGGAGAAGAGTTCTCATCTGGGTGGGGCAAGAGCAGGCGCTCCCTGGCCGGGTAGGGGCTTTGGGAGCTGAGAAATACAGCTTGTGAGCACAGCTGCGCCTGCTTCCGCCCGGTGCGGGCTGAGCTGGCCACTGCTGTACCTGTGGAGTCACTGGTTACTATACTCTAATGTTTTTATTTTATTTTCCGACAGGCAGAGTGGACAGTGAGAGAGAGAGAGAGAGAGAGAGAAAGGTCTTCCTTTGCCGTTGGTTCACCCTCCAATGGCCTCCGTGGCTGGCGCACCATGCTGATCCGAAGGCAGGAGCCAGGTGCTTCCTCCTGGTCTCCCATGGGGTGCAGGGCCCAAGCACCTGGGCCATCCTCCACTGCACTCCCTGGCCACAGCAGAGAGCTGGCCTGGAAGAGGGGCAACCGGGACAGAATCCGGCGCCCCGACCGGGACTAGAACCCGGTGTGCTGGCGCCGCAAGGCGGAGGATTAACCTAGTGAGCCGCGGCGCCGGCCGAGTCACTGTTTTTAACATCAAGTCCTCTGTGTTCACGGGAGGGCTGCTAACGTCGGCCTTAGCAAATTGGAGTCCTTTGTTCTGGAGCTGGCCTGCGCACATCAAGTGTGGAGAGCGTGTCCTGGGGCCTTGCTTTCCTTGTTTCTACATACCCCCTCTTGTCACGCTGGCCCCTGCTGCCCCTTCTCTGGACCTCACACCAGTGCTATGGGCTGCCACCTGCTCAGCACATACCTCTCTGTGAGGGCTCTCAACCCTTCTTGTCCATCTCCCCTACCCAAAACCCACTAGCCCCGTGGCTCCTTGGCTCCTTCCTTTGATGTTTGTTTATTTTCAAAGACATTTTGATTCATTGGAAAGGCAGAGAGTGAAAGTAGGAGAGATCTGATCCCTCAAGTGGCTACCATATCCAGGGCTGGGCCAGGCTGAAGCCAGGAGCCCAGAACTCCATCCTGGTCTCCCACATGGGCGGCAGGGGCCCAAGCACTTGGGCCATCTTCTGCTGCCTTCCCACGTGCATTAGCAGGGAGCTGGATCGGGAGTGGAGAAACCGGGAATTGAACTGGCATCCATACGGGATGCCGGCATCATAAGCAGTGGCTTAACCCTTGTACCACAATGCTGCTCCTTAATATTTATTTAGTATCAAGTCCAAGAACATGGCCAGGTTTTGTGCAACCTGAAGGTTATACAGTTTTTTAGTGTCCCCTTTAAGAAAAAGAACAAGAAAAATCATAAATACAAAATCACGTACAAAAGAGAACATTTATTTATATTGAAAAAAGTAATCACAGCAAATGGCAGATAAATACCACGAATACCACACATTTTAAAAAAGAGTGTGACATTTTTATTAAACTGTCCAACAGTCGCCTGTAATGCGTTCCCACCTCTGCATTTTGTGGCTTCCCATTCTCTAATCACCTCTTAATGTGGCAAAGAGACAGAACAATCACTCTGCAGTCATTCCTCTAGGTCGGTTGGTCCACATTTGTTTGTGATTCCTGCTGGTTGGGGTACATTATTGTGACTTTACAAGCTGCATTGTGTAGTACTGCTATAGATTCGCACCTTACAACGCGGGACCACTGACCAATTCTGTTATGCGTGATTCTTATCAGAGGGTCTTGAAAAATTATAAATGCATGATGCATTTATTTTTTTATTTTTTGACAGGCAGAGTGGACAGTGAGAGAGAGAGACAGAGAGAAAGGTCTTCCTTTGCCGTTGGTTCACCCTCCAATGGCCGGCGCACCGTGCTGATCCGAAGGCAGGAGCCAGGTACTTATCCTGGTCTCCCATGGGGTGCAGGGCCCAAGCACCCGGGCCATCCTCCACTGCACTCCCTGGCCACAGCAGAGAGCTGGCCTGGAAGAGGGGCAACCGGGACAGAATCCGGCGCCCCAACTGGGACTAGAACCCGGTGTGCTGGCGCCGCTAGGTGGAGGATTAGCCTAGTGAGCCGCGGTGCTGGCCCACGATGCATTTATAATTGAGTGGGCCACATACTAAGTATATTCCTGAGAGAGGAAAACTTCCATTGTGCCTGGGCGTCTGTGAGGACCAAATCTCTGGCAATCCTGCAGATCTGACGCTTGTCAGATTTTCCACATCACTTTCTGGCTCCTTTCGCTTCAAACCTTGTTTCCCCTCCCCTCCACATGTGTCCAGTCCAGGTGCTGGAGGACGTGTCCAGGCCCAGTGTGCCCTGTGGTCCCGCCCATCCCCATCAGAACACGGGGTGAGCTGGTCCATTGCTGGTAGGAGTGTTGCTGGAAACCAAGTTCACCCCAAGATGACTAGCAATCAGTTAACTATGTTTGGGTAGTTTGGTGGTCTTAAACCACATAAATCTATCCCATTACTACCCAACTAAATTTATGCTGCCTCAACTTCCCCTTAGCCAGGCCCCAGAAGTGCTGATGGCTTTCCAAATGTCATTTGACGCCAAGTCTGGAGTCGGGAAGGCAGTAGGAGGGGACAGAAGTCAGCAGCAGTGGCCAAAAGCTTTGGTTTTCATGCATCATGCAAAGGTACTCAGCTGGCAAAACCCCGGCCAGCCCCGAGTAGCCCCTTGCTGTAAATCCGCTCTTGACCCCGTCCGTGCCAGGCCTGTGGCTCTGGAGTTGAAAAGGGAAAACATTCTGTGCAGTGTGCCTCTGCCTG